TCGCTGCCTGTTTCATTTCATTGAATCTCCCTCTTACACCTGATACAAAATCGCTCAATGATTTCGTGAGGTTTACAGCTTCATTCAATGTGAGCGTCTGATTATGTAGCGTTCTTCTGATGGCATTGAAGCATCGCAACACTCTGTCCATGAATTAAGCTACAACTGCTGCAGTCACACCCATAGTCTTCAAGGATAACCCATGTCTCTGCTAGTTCTTCCTAACCTTCAGACCCTCAGGGCGACCCTAATTCCCTGAGCGAACACAGCATCATAGCATCCGCCCGAGCTGACCACCACGTGTCTTGGAGTCACATGGGCATGAATATTGTATCATTGTTTCAAATCAAGCCTGCAGAATATCCCAGCAAAGAGTAGACACAGAAAAGAAAATTATATACGATGTACGCAACGGTTAACACAGACCGCCCTGCGTGTTCCGTGTCGAGCGCTTTCGTGCCAGCGCCAGCTGCTTTCGTTTCAGCAATGGCCAGCGGTTGTGATAGACCTGACCGTGTTCCAAAATTTACCCAATCTCACTCCAGAGTAACAGTTTCATACCTCGGTGTTCAAAAACCTTTCTGCGTCCAGCGTTGCTTAGTTTGAATCGTCACGTGATAAGACCCGCAGGAGTAACTGAGATCCAGTCAAGTAAGGGTTCGAACACGCCCCCTGTCAGGGGGGATCCCCTCACAGAGGGCCCTATTCATTTGAGCAGTTTGAATATGGGTAATCTGGCCCTGCCCCTGGGGCGACAAAAGGGACATGGTGAAATGCTGGGCTGTTACATGCAGATGCCAATTGTTCCAATTGATTTTAATGCATTATCTGGTACCTCAACACCACCTTTACAAAGAAGTGTTCTCAAACTTTCTGATGACAAGGAACCCTAACAACCTTCAAAAGGTGCTATGGAATCCACCTTTCCCCTGCACCCCTTCCACAATCCTTGATACCGCAGCATTCACGCTGCACCAGGTGTGTCATGCTTCACTGCTTCGCACCATCGTGCTCACAAACGTTTCAGTGCTTTGCTCCGGTACACACGCTTCACCGCTATACACTGGCGCGTTGCGGCGGTGTATAGCGGTGAATACTTTGAAAATATTCAAAGTTGCCAAATACTCCTCACCAATTTAAAGTGCGAGTAGAATATGGCGTCATTCGCTTCAATATTCTGAATTTTAGAATATTTGTACAACCCTGAAATATGTCGTAAAGTAAAGCTGAAGCACACTCTACAAATCCGGAGATCCCTGCAAAAAAAATGGGAGATAGGCAATTGATATGCTATCAATGTTATCTATATTTCTACTGTCCATTTTTTTTTTAGATGTTACAACAGTCAGAGGTGGGCACTTATTTCACGGTATACATAGCATTTGAGTACAAACATACAGTTCTTCATTTTCCCATAAAAAAAATGAAATATATATTTGGGTGCTTGCGGAATCCAGGAGACGAGCCTACGGAACCCGGTTGGGGAACCCCGGGTGTATACTGTGCACCCGTCTGTAAACAGCTTCTCAAAGCAATTTTTAAGAAAATAAAACTGAACCATCTAGAATAGCCTAAGCTGAAAAAGGCTTCTTAATATTTCTTTTGTAGCATTCATAATTAGGCATTGAACTTTTTGCTTGATGCTTTGATCGACTTTGTTTCTTCTTATGGGAAAAAGTGCACATCAACACTGACAATCAGCGACATGGTTCGCAAGCTACCCAACCAATGGTGTGCGAGCCCCCTATGGTTGAAATGGTATTAAAACAGTGAAAAAAAGACGAAGGTCCTGTTGAAGGAGAACACAGACACAGCGCTGACTTACAACTGAAAATTTTACTTGTGCATGGTACAGTAAGTAAACATAAAAAGCAGATAGATACCATTTCAAAATGACGAACCAACTAGCCCAACTACACACTTTGTTGCAGCCCTTCTGTGGCCCTGAATTCTTTCCTTACCATGAAAAAAAAATTATGATTTTCGAAGCATCTCTGCAAATCCCTTTATTTTTAAAGCTATTTGGCATATACCATAAACTCCCGAGGTCTACGTATGTACTTCCCAGTCAGCAACATTCACTTATATCCCGCCGTAGCTAACGAACCGCATTTATGCCGAGGCCGTCACTGATCCCAAAACTACTATTACTAAAAATAAGCTATCTTTCAATGTAAAAAAAAAAAAAAAAATCAAGGCAAATATAGGGTGGGCTACCTTTCGGGGGTGGGGCATCTCTCGGGATTTTACAGTAGTGCATTATGGCACATCAAAATGTGGCCACAGAGATGCTGTTTAGAAATAAAAAGATTTTAAAATAACGCATTAGAAAGGTTCTTGTAGAAAACGTCTTCATCCTAGCTCAAATTGGCTGGTACTGCACATAGGGAAAAAAATGGACCCTAACCGCCGAATTCACAAACCTCATTCCAATTGAGGCACACCTCCACTTCCTCAAGGAAGACACGAGAGACACCGCTGGCCAATTGCAAGGACGGCTAAGCAGCCTAGGCTGCCTATCCGTCGTTGCGACTGGCCAGCACCGGCCCTCGCGCCTTTCTTGGGGAAGTGGAGGGGCGCCTCACTTGGAATGAGGTTTGTGAATTCGGAGATAACTTAGCTAGAGCTGGAGTGCGGCAAATTGGAAACATACACCTCCCCAGTGGTCACAGGCTCCACATCTCGCACACCTGTGGACCCGGAAACGTCGGAATGGGGCACGGCACCCACCGAGGATTGAATTGCCAAAACTTTTTGAGAGTGCCTTGTGAGCGCAAATGCGAGACACTGGGTGCCACGGACGCGGCACACGTGGTACTGGTGGGTGGCCAGCTTGTCCAGGTTGACCACGTTGCCTCGGCTGAGGAACAGGTGCTGAAACATCAGCGAATGAATTAATTAAAAGCATAAAACAAAGCTGGGTTGTGACCACTCCTTGGAACCACACAGGACACACATGTCTAACTTGGAAGCAGTCAATGAACATTATAGGTTTAGGGAGGGGTCAGTATGTTAAACCTAAATCTGCAGCTATTTTTTTGTGCGTGTGTGGGTGTGTGCATGCATGTGGGGAGTGGGGGGTTGTTAACTCATTGCAATTTTTTTATGGGGCTGGTTGCTTATTATCGGGGTCCCCCCAGTCAGGGAAGCATCTAACTGTAAACACAGACATTAAGGTGCAGTGTTTGAGCTCGCCTTCTGGGTTAAATTTCTGTTCTCCTTGGGGATCGGTTCTCGTGTGCCGAGTTCACTACGATTTTAAGAAGTGATTTGGATTGTTTCTTAAGGAAAATGTTTAGAACTTCCCAATGCATAGAGGCAGTTTCAAACTCTGTTAGAGTTTAAAACTGCCTTCTGTACATGTTGCTTTCACAAATGGTGTACTCTTTTTTAATCTATCTTGTTATATTCCTGACATAATTACCTATTTTTTGGAGTTTCAAACTTCCTAGGAACTTACTGACCTAAACACATGCTTTTTTTACCTGTCTACAACTGCATAAATTGCTGAGTGCTTATAAAAGAACAGGTGTAGTACAATACATTTCACCGAAAAAGAAAAAAAAATTCTGGTGTATAATATATTAACTGATAAAGACCCAGATATTGAAATTTGAAACAAAAACCAATAAATGTATGCCGAATTCGGGAAAAAAATGAAAACGCTGATCTTTAGTTATAGGTAGGGTTCAGTGTTTCCTGAGTTTTTTTTTTTTTTTCTCAAATTTGGGGGTATTTTTTTTTTTCGGTGTCTAATTTTTCCCACAGATTCGGTGCTTTTTGTGTAAATTGGTTGAAGTCATAACCAATTTCAACAAAAAACGCCGAATCTGAAGGAAAAATTATCCTCCTCCCCCAGAAATACCCCCAAATTCGAAAAAAATATACTCAGAACTAGGGAAAGCCTACCCTAGTTATAGGTAGGCTTTACTGAGAATACAAAGAAAAAATACTGAGAAAACATCCGCCGATGACGAAAATACGAAAACAGTTGAAACCAAAAAAACACCGGTCTGGGGCTAGGCGATTACTATTTTGGTTGAAACCCCCAATTCTAGGCATTTGCTGAGCCTGTTTTGCTACCAAGAATTAAGCAAACTGGAGTCTCCAATCAGTGGAATCGCAGACCTTGGTGGACAGGGGCCCGAGAGGTGAGTCACACGATTACTACCAATACTCACAATGCCCATGTTGATTCATGTCGGACGACGGCAGATAAGGAAGCAACTTGTCCCATAACAATTTTTTTTCACCGATCATCGCTGTTTTAGTGTCCACATGAGCCAACAAGTCAAAAGCAGGGTTGTGCAGTATCGCAATACAAATGTATTGCAATAGTATTTCAGAAATGCATTTTGTGTCTGTATTTCTTTATCGCAACACTTTTTTTTTCCCCGGTATCTCTATTTCTGTATCGAAATGCATTTGGGATATTCCTTGGTACTGCACTACAATCAAGACGGGATGTATTTCGTTACATTTCTTCAGAAATAACTACCCCCTCTGGATAAAAAAGGCGGCAACCTTTTTGCTTTGCAAGAGAAGGCCTGAGGGCGTTATGAAAAGTATGCTGTGCCTTTGCTATCATGCGAACCTAGGTTTGTCTGGAACGATTTGTCTGGGATCTTAGCAACCCTCTTCTTTATTCTGGAAAACTGAAGAATGTTTTACACCACGCTTGGCTTATCACCCTCCCCCCCCCCCCCCCAAAAAAAAAAATATGGACGTCTTTTTTTTACTTTAAGGTGACGTTGGGGCATTCTTACTATGCTGACCAAGGTACATTCCGATTCCTAGAACTATTTGTCTACGCGACCTCTTCTCTATTCTGTGACGATAAGAAATGTGCTGTGAGTGGCACATTTCTTAATGAAGAAATGTGATTCCCAGCTGTGAAAGCAATGACGAAAATAGTCCCTGGAGAAGGAGAACAAGAGGGACAAAGGACAAACACAAATCTCCAAACACAGCTAGGTGACTGGTGCGCGACTGAAAAAATCCGCCTGGTCCAGGTATCGAACCCGGGACCTCTCCATTGCCAGTGAAACGGTCTACCAACTGAGCTAACCAGGGGTTATACGTCAGTAGAGCAAATTGGTTTTATCAGCTGCCACCTGTCTAACACCAACAAGGGTGAAGCTTGCAAGTTAAGGTTGTGATTAGAATGCAATAAAATGCAAAGGTGCAAGCAAACTGGACAAGAATGACGAAAAATATCCCTGGAGAAGGGATTATTTTCCTTCTCCAGGGCTTATTTTCGTCATTCTTGTCCAGCTCGCTTACACCTCTGCATTTTAAAATTGCATATTGGGAAAATGTGTTTCAGTGTCAGTATTTCAGTATCTGCATTTCTGCCATTTCTCAGAGGTATTCTGCATTTGCATTTCCAAATACATTTTGCTCCTCGTTAAAATGTTTTTCCGATGCATATCACAATGCATTTTAACAGATATATTTAAGTATCACTATTTTAGCCATTTTTATGTATCCCAGCATTTGTATTTCCAAGTACATTGAGTGTTTTGGTCCAACCCCGGTCAAAAGATAGCAATGTTTGAAAAATAAATAAACTATGAAAAACATACGCCGATTTTTCTAATAAATAAACACCGGAGGATGTATGCCCCAGTTATAGGCTATTTATATTTATTAAGTAAAATTAATTTTGGGTGTGTTCGGGGTATAAAAATACAATCAAAACCCAATGTAGCTCGTTAATGCTTTCAATTAATCAATGAACTGCAAACAAAAAATAAAGCTATTTCTTTTTGCTTTAGATCAGTGGAGACTGTTGCGAAGGGGCCACTGAGGCTTTGTTACCATGCGGATCAGGATCTGATCAGAACATTTTGTCTCTATCCATGAGGACCCTCAGGGTATAATTAATTGATTACGTAACCTCTTAACAGCCTATAATAAGCTCAGCCTGCCATGAGCTATGTGTCATTTTGTGGTTTATGACGAGTGCACCTCATCACATACTGCTTTCTGCCTTTTGCATGGTTTGCAGCAAGGTCAGTGAATAAGACAACAGTGTCGATTCTCTTTATGATAGAATAATAAATAAAAAAACTGTTTCGTATAAGGTATGCTTCAAAATGTAAAAAATTATAAGGTTAATCAACAGGTGATGCCATTTTTTGTTTTATAAAAATAACAAATGTTTTCCTTGAGACTTCATTTATATTCTGAACATCTAAGGCACTGCAAGCACGAGCTTTACAGGTGTGCTCTGCACTTTCGTGCCATATCGATGGAGGGGAGCAAAGTTCATGCTTTCAAATGCAATGAAATGCTGAAAAGGCAACCTAACCAAACCAGAGCATGGAGACACCTCAATATAATTTAGGAGGACCAAAAACTGATGTGGAGATGAAGTTGGCATTGACAATATTCAAGCTGGTTGACCATAGTAAAACAAACAATGCATAAATGATGGACAAATATTAGAAGACAAACAAACCAGAGAACACCATTTTTATCGGCACCTGTCGAGAGCGTATTTTCAGCCCCTAACATAATGCTCTGCCCAAATTGACAGGTGCTAACTGATTGGACACCAATTGAAAAGCTCATCCACAAATGTAAGTGAGCATAGCAATTGTTCTTTTGGTCTGTGTTGCTTGCATACTATATGTAAAAAGTAATATATATGGCTGGAGTGATCTTTCTTGGTATCATGAATACCTGGTTGTCAATAACACGGAAGATGACATCTAGAATATCTCAAAGTATGTATAACGTGATATCAATAGCGGAGCTAACTGTAGAATTCTCTGGAAATAGTGTCACCTGCACAAGCCAAGCTTGAAAGTTCTGTCAAGCTACATTAGTGATGGGTGTTACCTTGTGGAATTGAAAGGTGCATCTTTGTTTTTGCAAAGCATTAGCAACCTGCATCAGGATGCAGATTGTCAAAAGCAACGCTTGATGCTTCTTTTGGGAGATGGAGCAACGTGCTGCAATCAGAAAAACACGTGATGGTGAGTCCGATGAGGCTGAAGATAATCTTGCTGTAACACAGCTTTCTTCTAATACTGGCACGCACATCGCTGAGCAAGCGCGTACGTGGTCGAATAGTTACCGTGCTTGATTGTCGCGCGGAAGATTTGTGTTTGAATCCAAGTGGCAAAATGTTCTTTTATTTATTCTTTCTACTTGGCGTTCTCGCAAATTCAAGAACTTTCTTGTCTGATCGAGTTATGAACGTTCTACGTGCCGAAATTTCTAGGCCGACTGTTCCAGAGATTTACGCGGCTACAAAAGGGACTCCGCATGGCGAGCGGACTCAGTCTCTTCCCAGCGCTTCATCCTGCTGTTTCGCCGAGACCGACCCCTGCGACGCTAGCCTTTCTCTATTTTGTTTTCGGCATAAGTTTGCCCCATTAAATGTTTACTTTCTTCAGTTATTATCATTTGTCATTCGTGACAATATAGCCATGCACGCAAACAGGAAAGCCACAACAGAAAAACGCTATTGGGGTCGAGACACCCTGCCGTAGATCCGTTGCTCAACAGTGCGGTCTACTTTCCGTGACGTGCTGTGCCACCTCTCAACATGAGAACCGAACACAACCCTCGGCCGTCAACATCCAGCACCCATAACTGAAAATCTTGCATACATTCTTCTGATTTTTTGCACAAACAAATATGAACCTTTAACTATCACACGGTAACATCGACCACTGCAATACACCTGTGACAAAATATGGAGCTCGCTATACCCAGACTATAACTTTTTGCTTCATTTTACAGCAAACCCCACTACTGTGGCAACATACATTTCGGGACCTGTACTGTTTCATTCATAAACATCTCATCGACAACTTTTATTCAAACGACATGTTATTGATACACATTTCATCGACAGTGACATGCAATCGACAATCGTTACGCCAACCATACGGTGTTGTGATGTTTCATTGTGAGTTTCAGTGGGGCAAGCGTTAACTTACCCGGCCCGCACGTCCACATTGTTTCGCAGCAACAGCCTGTGGCGGCTCGCTACAGAAATATTAACACACCTGGCACACCCACTCAAGCTGCTTCGCGGCAACATTCTGCGAGGAGTCACTACAGAAAAAAAAAAGCTTATCTGAGCTGTCGATGTAACAAACTGCCGATGAAACAAACTGTCAATGAAACGTCGTTCGGTGAACTGACTGCCCCCCATATTTCGGTATCAGGATTTCTCCTTCAAGTAAAACATATTTCGAGATATTTTGTCACCTAGTTTTTATTCATACATATTGAAGTTGTTTTGCAATGCTCCCTTTATAAATGTATTTTAGTGTCGGCACTTTAGCCGTCACTGCTGTGTATTCCAGTATTTGTCATTTCAAATGCTTTTTAGGTTATATCTGCCCAACCCTGTCACTCAATAAACAGCATTCCAGAGGCATCACGAATACCTGACTATCAATGATATGGAAGATGACATCTCGTCACAGGGGGCATGTCACATGTAACTCAAAAGGACAGTGCACCAGGGGTGCAAGTTTCAAGTACTTACTTCGACATTCACGATGGTAATGCCGAAGACAACCAACCTCCGTACTAGGAGGCTCTTAAGAGACAGCCTCTCGCCCTCCCTGGCATGCCCTAAAGGCCCACCCCGAGGCACCAACTTGAAAACAAGCACGTGGCTTGTCAGGCCTTTCAGGGTGGTCACAAGCTCCTGAAAAGTGGAAAGGACATTGACTTATGCACAGGACAAAGCAAAACTACGCTGTTGCTAATCAAGTTAATTGCAGTACACAAAATGGTGCACTTAGCTGTGACAAAATTTGAAGCACATGGACCAGAGGAGCGCAAAGTGCGGTTGTGGGGCCCTGGGAGGTCCCGGGCCTCACAGAGGTCCTGAATAAAAAAAAACGGTACATGCGCAAAACTAGCACAGAAAAGACCTCTCAAAACAAATGGCAGGTAAAGCCAAGCTTGAATACACTGAGACCAGATACTGCCCATTATTAAGTATGTTTGTTTCAAGTTGGGCGCGAGGAAGAGAGAATGGTTGCAAGGCGGTGCTCAATTCGTTTTTGAGTGGCAGGCCCAAAACATTGGCACACTTCTCCCGAATATGTGAAGATATCAAGGCCACTCCAGGCAAATGATAAGGCCAATCATCTGTAATCATACATTCTCATCAAATGAAAAGAGCCTAACAACTTACTTTGAGCATTAGGATATAACTGTTAATTAGAAAAGAGCTCTTTCATTGGTTAAAATGTTACTTGATGCTCAAAATTTACGATAAGCCTTATATTGTGGAGCAAGAACTAGTGGTGCGAAACTATTGATAGTATCGATAGTTGCCAGAAATCTGACTATTGATAGTCAAAAAACTATTGATAGTCGACAATCAAAAAACTATCGATAGTGCTATCGATAGTCGACTATTGAAAAGCTATGGATAGTACTATCAATAGTCGACTATCGGAAAATTATTGTTAATCGACTATCAGAAAACTATCGATAGTCGACTATCGTAAACCTATCAATAGTACTGTGAACGGTTTACTATCGATAGATTTGTGACACTAGTAGATTACGTCGCTCCCTCTTCTCTTTTTCTTGCTTTATTTTGCAAATGGGACACCAACTAGCCCATGCACTTACCATCCCAACTTTGGTTCAGCCTTCAGTGATGACGAAGACGGGAGTTTGGGCGAAGAGAGGAGGAAGGGAGGCGAGCGGCGGTGCGGCAACTGTGTTCGCTCCGCACGCGATTACTACAAACGCGCGCAAAACTTTGCGTTGCGCACACAAACTGTGGAGCATACGGCGCCAGCCTCAGCAGCATTAGCTGGCGCTTTCTGTAAGAGTCGTCGCCCATTCTACTACGGAACCAACAAAAAAAGAAAAACATAAATCCCCCACTGTTGCAAACCTAAACTAACCGGTAGCCCACTGAATCTGGCTGAACCTCGAAGACAAGCAGGCAAAGAGGGACCCACTGCTAGTGGTGCAAAACTATCGATAGTACTATCGATAATATCGATAGTCGCCAGAAACCTGACTATCGATAGTAAAAAAGCTATCGATAGTCGACTATCAAAAAACTATTGATAGTC